CTAGTCCTCGCTTCTTGAAGAACTGAGCTATGCGAATGGCCCACGTGAGGGCCTGTTCGCATGTCACGGTCACTCCATCACTATCTGATATCTGTGAATAAGTTTTTTTTTTTTTTTTTTTGTTAACACAGTCGTCATTTAGGCGAAGTCCATTTCAACGCACTTGCAACACTTTCTTTGGCCAATTCATCATGGTATTGAAGATGATACGACCCGCAGATGTGTTATAGTCATACATAGAGCTCCGAGGAGATCCACTCCAAGTTTTGTCAACGCTATTCCAATTGCTTTGCATTTTTGTTGAGTTAACCACTAACTAGGACTTTCAATCGCTCCAAAGTCTCGCAACCGACTATAGAAAATTTTCATTGAATACCTTTCTTTATACCATTTTAAAGGTAACCGCTTTCTTATTTACTACCCACTTAACTTTCTGTTTTACTTATCAGCAAGATATTGTAGTATACTATTCCAAACATTCATTTTGCTGATTAGCTCTAAGGGTACATATATATATATTTACGGATTTACATCAGTTTGTATGATTTATTTATTTTAATCAGTTTTTATTTTTTATCTATGGAATCTGCTGATAGATTCTGATTATACAAATAATCTTTAATCTTCAAGTTTGCACATGTGTATGAGTATAATGAGGGTAATGAATACGTTAAGCGTTGCTTATCGCGGTATCATTCATATTTCTATTACTTAACGGAAAGCAATTCAATATTGTAGTATAATAATATCTACTCGGATTTACTATTTTTAAAGGGACTGGATTATAAAACGCCAATGATATCTCTAGTAGTATGAAAGTTTTAGCAGTCTAAGATTACGAGCCCGTTACTACTGAAGTACGTTCAGAGCGATGGATAAATACTAGTAGATAGACCCACCATGTACGCATGATGTCGTACATCAATTTATGTTTTCATTGGAGAATCTATATGACGTGGTTTTAAAATGAATCTATACGCATTTAAAAATCAGACAGATATACATTTTGGGTTTCTTAATTTTTGTTTATTTTTTAAGGTGTTGTTTTGGTTTTCATACAATTATTTGAAGCAACACCTTGCTTACTTAGTTCGTTTTAGACGGAATCCCACCAAGGGACACAAAGAGCTCGCGGGCCGCCTTTCGCATGACCTTGCCATTGTTATTGAAGGGCAGCCTTTCAGTGAA